ACATACATACATACATACATACATACATACATACATACATACATACATACATACACACACACACACGCTATACATAAGCTATGTCGATCTGTGCCTACAGACTTCAACATAAGTTAAGGACCACCTTGACAGACAGCCCTAATTGTTTTTAAATCCGAAAAAAAGACAGCAAAGAATGTTTCAACATTGTTTGCTCTAAAAGAGTGAATGAGTTAACAATGCGTACTGCAACGCTTCCTAAAGGGGCAAAACGACCACTTGCAGTACGGAAATCCTCGGGGAATTTTAGGCAAATTTGCGGTTTTTATCGACTTTTGTGCGACACCATGGACATTTCTTCAGTTAAAGTTTCTGGTGCACGTGATAAACGGACGTATGGTCTCGAACTGTGTTCACTTTTGGTGGCAATATAAGCCGCCGTTTGCGCAAAATCCAGTATCGGATCAACATGCCACCATGACGAAAGCTGAGTGACTTTGACCGTACCAGGGCTATGGCGTGGCTGCACGATGGAGTTGGAGCCCGAGAAGTTGTCAGAAGGCTTGCAGTGTCACACTCTGTCATTGTCCGCCTGAGTCAGCGCATCAAGCCACTGGATCAGTCCAAAAACGCCCACATGCAGGTCGACCCAAGAAGACCACTGAGAGAGAGGATCAATATGTCCGCATGCAGGCCCTGCGACAAAGGACAACGACAGCCAACAGCATCAGGCATCGACTGCGTGCTGCTACCAACACGGCGGTGAGGTCCCAGACCATTCGGCGTCCTCTGCAGGCTGCCAACATCCGTGCCAGGCGTCCAATAAAAAACCCCCACCAAGGCTGACCACAGGACACCAGGCAAGTCGTCTTGCTTGGTGTAGGGCCAATGAACCAAGGACTCGAGCCCAATGGGGCCATGTGTTGTTCACAGATGAGTCATGATTCATTGTCAACCCAAAAGATGGACGTGTGCGTGTGTGGCGGCGTCCACATCAGGCAAGCAGGGATCACAAAAATGCCATGGCCAGCAAACAGTCCCGACTTCAATCCCATTGAGAATGTGTGGTGTGAACTTGGCCGGAGAGTCTAGCAGCTCCAGCCATCACCATCTAACCGACAAGAGCTGCTGTAGATCCTGCAGCAAGAGTGGGCAAACCTTCTCCCGCCTTCATTGCCACCACATCAACCCCATGTGGCGACCCTGCCTTGATTGCATTGCTCGGCGTGGTGGGTATGCCCGTTTTTTTAACGGACTGTCATGGACACTAATTCCGGGGTTTTTCTTTTGAAGGGTTCTGTTGTTCCGAGCGACAAATTGCCTACGTTCGTGACGTCATCATTCTGATATTGAATTGATTTTGTTAAGAAATGATTCCATTAACTATCTTCAAAATTTCAAATGTTTTGTTTTTTACATGTTTGTGCTGCGATAGTGTTTGCAAGTGGTCCTTAACTTTTGTTGAAGTCTGTACTACGAAAAAAATATTCTGAGCTTTTTTTAACCCCAAGTAAACTCAAAATTCACCAATCATAATGGTGTCTAACGTGTTTTAATAAAAGGCTACATGGAGTACACAAAAGGTTACAATCCAAGTTGAATAAACATAATATAATATAAGCAGGAATATCATACTAGCATCAGTGTTTGTTGCCATTTTATTGTCCAAAAGTTGCCACAAAAATGGCAAAAGTTGCTATAAAAGTTGCCAATAATTTTCAAGCTTTCAACTCTCTGTGACGACAAATATAGCAATATGTTGATAGAGGTAACGATCTAAAGTACCAAAATTTCTTGTGTTCTGTTTCAAGCATCCAGAAGATTATTTGTAGCCACAATACAGAGAGTAAAAACGTGAAAAATAAAGGTTTCATAACAGAATGAAAGTAAAATTAGAACAGAACATAAACAGCCACAAAAATTAACAAATAAGGGCGTGTGTCCACCTATCCGAAGAGTGGCTGTGGTAACCCTAAACGTGTGTTATTCAAGAAAAAAGTACAGGGTATCACATGTAAATTAAGGAATCACACATAAGGGGTCTGCCAGTGTCAATACAAGTACATATTCGGTTTTGGTAGAGACACGCTCAAACATTTTTACGCATTTATTATGTTTAAAAAAAAAGGTAGAAACAACATCAAATTAAATGATATTGACATTACGATAAACACAACCAAAAAAATAAATAATAGAAAACACATCAGAATAATAATAAGAAAAGAATATGACACACCAGCAAATTAAAACACAACAAAGAGAGAAAAATGAAAGAGAAACAGCAATATAAAAACTAAATAGTATGTAATGTAGGCCCTACAAGACTTTTTTTCTCATGAAAATAACAAATAACGTGTGG